TTTAACAATGAATCTTGATTGTTTACGATTTTGCGTCTTTTGCCATCTCACTGGACTTGATTCATTTTATTCTAGTTAAAAGAAGTGCTAATAATGCACATAAAGCAATGAGTGTTAAATACCACACAGTACAGCGAACGTGTAATGTTACAATATTGGATAAAATACCAGAGGCATTCCGTACTCAGCTGAGTGAAAAGGTCTGTAGATTGTTAACATATTTCAATTATTAATGTTAGTTCAGCACACACTATCTGCAACATAAACTATAACGTTGTGTCAATATAAAATTCAAATATTTGCTAGTTAAATTTTATAAAACCATATTATATCTATACCTAGCTCAGTATCCAACAACCTAATTTATACTGTTATCCACGCGTCTAAAATTTGAATAACAAACATAAAACATATTCTCGGTTTTGTTTGATTTGATAGATTTCTGAGTTCTGTCAAAATGATGTGTTGTGTGAACTTAATAATGTGACGGCTTCCTGCAAAGAAGTTGGTGAGTAAAATTGAGATGGCGCTTCAAAAAAAATACAATGTTTCAGTAAATGGACATGCATGTTATTAGTAACGTATCTCTATGTAAATTCAGATTTGTAGCTTGTCAGGACTGCAGTGTTTGCATATACAGACAATTAACAGCTTGTTTCACTGTATATAATTGTTTAAAAGAAACAGAAGAAACTATTGAATCTAAGAATGGTCTAAACTTGTTAAGAAGACGAAGAAGAAGAAGCAGGTCAGATGTACCAGTGGAAGAGGATATAATTGTGGAAATTACAGTCTTAGGTACCAAATGTTTTACATATTCAAATAAGTATGGTAAGGTCTAGTAAATTCTGGATAGTTTTGTTGGTGCAGTAACACATATCAACATTGTTTTAATTAGGTACATAGGCGGGTATCTTGTAAAATGTTGTAGCCTTATAATGACATACTGATTACAGATTCAAGTTCATTTATTTGGTCCCATACAAAGTGTTGATATTCTGCATGCCAATTATCGATGATCATTACCACAATTTTAAATCATAATTACACATAGTGTTAAAGAGACAGTCGTATTAGCTAATGCCTAATTATTGTTAAGAATAGTTGTTGTAATAGTGTGGTAAATACAAATCGTTTGCTTTTGTGTATGTTTCCACATACCCATGATTAAAGTCGATAGGGGAGATTGTGTGCAATATGACTGCTATGTTTGTTTGTAGGTAGCATTGATCTACCAAACAGCTCTGATCAAGTAGAAGCAGAGAAGCGCCAACTTGTTCTTCTAGACGAACTCAGTAAAACTCCGTTGGAATTACAGAATGAGGCGACAATTGGCAACTTAGATTTATATTTAGACGGTGATGTTCTCGATGTAGATACTACAAGTATAAAAACCAAACCCACCACTCCAATATGTACAAGTGGTAAAGTACTTGAAGGAGATCAATGTGGTAAGACAAACCAGGTTCTATTCAGTTCTTGTACGTAAATGCAACATTAAATAACGTGATGTTGTTTACACAGTTTATGCAGGTGTTGGTAGTTTTTCCTTGGCCAAAGAAATTGACTTTGAACTTGTTTATTTCTATCACTTATTTAGTTTACTTTTTTGTAAACGACCCAGTATAGATCATATTATATATAATGAAATTTATATTCAAAATCATAAAATACAACAATTTTTTGTTGATCACTGTTATGTCAGACATTATAAAACTTGGAAGATAACATGTGCATATTCACATTTATATTTTTCAAGTTAACTGTGCAGTTGGAACATATTTCAATGAAACTACGAAGATATGTGTGACTTGTTCAATAGGAAGTTACCAGGATGAAGAAGCTCAGCTACAATGTAAACATTGTCCAACTAACAGTAGCACAGTAGAGTCTAGGTCAAGATCACAAGACAACTGTCATGGTTAGTAAAGTACATGCAGGTTTTCAAAATTGCTAATTTGAAGGAAATTCAAATAATAAATTCGAGTAGTAAACAACGTGTTTTGGTCGTCAAAATTCATAAATTATGTACACCAAATTTATAGCAGTATTCTTTTACAAAGATGTCACAGTTGTTTTAAAACATGTTACATGTAACAATGCAAGTATAGTTAATAAGATAATGTGTTGCCACTTTCAGAGTTGTGTAGTCCTGGTACATTTTCCCCTACTGGTTTAGAGCAGTGTGAGGGATGCGAGATCGGATATTATCAGCCTGATGCCGGTAGTACAGACTGTTTAGCCTGTCCATTTGGTACTACTACAGCTAACATAGGAACACCAACTTTACAAGAATGTAAAGGTAGGATCGATATATGTACTCTGTGAGATATCCAGAAGAACATGAGATGACAGTAGTATGCCATCAAATCCCATCTATAACATGTTTGTCAATGTCTACCCTTCATAGATGCACCAGTAATAGGTGCACTAACTCCATTTGTTAACCCTAACACTTATGTGTAAAAATCAAATACAAGAGTACAATTGTGCAATAATTGTTTTCAATTGAAATAATTATGTTGTCAATAATATGATAATATACTCATTAAACCGATTTAATTACAGAGCCATGTTTAAGTGGTTACGTGTCAATGGATGGTATGGCACCGTGCTACCCTTGTCCTATTGGCTATTATCAACCAGATGATAGACAAAGTCAATGTTATCAGTGCCCAAATGGTGTAAACACCAAATCTGGTGGCTCATCATTATATACGCAATGCGAAGGTATGAATCTCAGAATCAAATTTCAATAATAGCTGAGATAATACTTCTTTGAAAAGATAAATTCACACACCTTCTAAATATACAAATGCATTCTTGTTTTAAGAAAACATAATAGACATCCCTTAACCTTATTACACATATATGGAATATTACACACTCTGACATGACATGCTCTGTATCATTTTCTATATACAGGTGTGAGTTCAGATGACAACGAGACTATATATGGTATATTGCAATTCAATGAGTGTTTTGCATTTCCTTGTCAAAATAATGGTAATTGTAGTCCAATGCCAGCTGGATATCAATGTCAGTGTAGGCCAGGATATACAGGTAAATAAAATGAATATACGGTGATATGGTATTGGCAATACAATGTGGTAGGTAGGACATATTACATCTTGTGTGTATCCCACAGCCAGCGTGATATTAGTGTATATGTAGAATACATTGATATGTGACCGAGGTAAACAATTCATTACAAGTTCAGTAAATTGCTGTTTTTCATTGCAGGTGTACACTGTGAATTTGACATTAACGAATGTGAAAGCGACCCATGTGTTAACAATGCTACGTGCCATGATGAAATAAACTACTTTGTATGCCAGTGTTTGCCAGGGTTTACGGGTAAGCGGCTCTGCGTCTTTCTATTTAAACGCAATATTTTAGTGATGTACATCATAGTAACAGAAATATAAATGCTTGATGAATCAGATGGTGTTGCTTACAACATTTGTTATTCTTATTCACACTTATCAGGATTGCTGTACAACGTGAATATTATATTGTCAACATACTCATATAGTGTTGAATTCCATCACAGATGCAAACACATGTTAGGTACAGTCATAGAGTAGCTGTGACAACAGAGCGACAAATATTGTTTAGTAACAATGGCTTATATATGATGCGATTGTTCTTAAAGGCAACCTATGTGAATATGACATTGACGAGTGCTTGTCATCACCATGTCATAGTGACGGAACATGTGTGAATCATGAAAACTCATATCAGTGTATCTGTAAATTGGGATTCAGAGGTAAATTGAATTATTTACATTCCAAAATAAATCTTTATTATTTGATGTTACTTGATTTCTACTTCTATTCTTATTTGTCTCAATATACTTTGCATCATTATCTGATGATACCTTCCCTCACATATTTTCCGTGGCCCTTTCAGTGAATACATAGTTTTTCTCCAAGTCACTCTAAAGATGGGGGAATCAATCAGCAGTGTCATTATATGTTTACAAACAACGCCATAAGTATTGTATATGTGTACACTGAATGTAATGCGTGTATTTATGGGTTGTGACAATCAATAATCAACAATCTATTTATACACAGGAACAAGTTGCGAGTATGAAGTAGATGAATGCCTATCCAATCCGTGCCAGAACAATGGAACATGTAACGATCTGATTGGTCGTTTTAACTGTGATTGTTTACCTGGTTACTTAGGTAACCAGTGTGAAATCGACATTGATGAATGTTTGACTAATAGTTGTTACAACAATGCAACATGTATGGACAAAGTAAATGGATTCAGGTAGATAAACCAGCGTTGTTTCCAATCAAAGGCTGATTAAAGTTAATTGAATCATAAGTTAAATCCCTGGGAAGATCCAGGGTAAATCACACAACATACAAGTACAAATCAGTGTTTGTTCTTGTATGTCAAAACATTCAGCTTTCTATACAACAAGTCATTGTCAATGACACGTCCCCGTTCCGTTCATATTTGAGTGACATATACATTCAAAGCAGATCATGACCGAAATGCACCTGCATATGTACAACACATTGTACTAAATCTGAACAAAATCCATGCATGCATGACTGAGATCCGGTTCTGGAATTGTGAAAATACGTGATTTTAATGCATTTTCGGCCTTAAAATGGCCATCATTCAGCTATTGCTAAGCGGATCATGAAACAAATGCACATATCTATTTGTGACATGATGCACCATGTGTGTGTGAAGTTTGAACTTGATCAATCCAGACATGTCTTGGATACGGATCCAGAACTGAATTCTTTAAGAAAATGGCCGCCAGTCGGCCATTTCGAACTTGATCCGAAAAAAAAAATGACGTG